TGGATTTTCATGATTTTTGTGTTGAAAGAAAGATAATTTTGAGAAATAGGGAATGTCGAAGCCATAATTTTAGTTTAGGGTCCCAGTTTTTTTTAGAAATTAGGTTTTAATTTTTTTTAAGTCTAGCAGCCGACGCTAAGATTCTAAACTAGCTTTTGGCATAAAATAATTTGCTTATCATAACAGCTGTAAACATTCAGCTTTTGTGTCACAAATTCAGCATTTGGATAAAAATGTAAAGACATACTTAGGGTTGACCTATTTATACTATGTGTAATGCTAATCATTGATACGTTCAATTCTTCTGTAAGAGGATGACAGATTAATTAAATATACATAGTAAAATACTAGGATGTTCAAATTATTTTTTAAAGCAATCTTTGTAATCTTCGATTTGTTTTAGAGCAATATAATTTGGTTTAACTAACAGCTGGTCATTGATTATAGGAAATAAGTAAGATTAGTAGAGATAATTAAACCACAGTTTAAAATAATCCAGTAAATTTGTATTTAAATTTACTCATAGCGAGAAAGTTTTGGGGTAGTTTTGATTTTTTCCATTTCTTATGTATTTTGGGGTGCTGAATCAGAATCTGAGGTTTGCCAACAAAAATTCTTGACGCAACATTGACAAAAATGAGAAAAATATGGAAAAAATGATATTATTTGTAATATTTAGCTTATAACTCAGAAACTATCAACTTTTTGTTATTAGTCTATATTATAAAAATTAAAGTACACAAAATTTGCTACGTACCCCTAATGTGGTAATCTCCGATGAACCGTTTAGGCTCCAGAGCTATTTGAAAATTTGAACATTTTGTGTTAGTTTTTAAATTCCTCCAATTATTCTGTCAATGACATATATTCATTGTATATGCCCAGGCAAAGGTCTTATATAAATCCAAAGTGTTAAAATTGATTAATTTTGTGTTACTGAACCGTTGACTTTTTATTTAGTGTACAGAAAAGATACACGAACTATTGCCGTTTAAATTATCCTCGCTCAGAGAGTTGTAATGAGGCAGGTTCTGGCAAACGTTTCGATGCATTATTTGTGAGCATTCTAGCTTGTTCATCTGGACAGTTAAAAAAAGGTTAGAAGTAAAAAAAAAATTACACATAATAATAAGTAATACCAAAATCAAAATTATAAAAATTAAAATAACAGCAATCTGTTAATCATGTAATATCGTATGCACCTGATGACGTGATATTTAGATATACGTAAATAATAAAATGTTATGTAGGCATATACTGTTGCTAAGCATTTATATTGTGTGTAGATTTAACAAGTTAATAAATAAAGGAATGTGCGTTTGGTACTATACTTACTTTCTTACTTACTTAGACTCTAGCATCACAGCCCATTGTACATCCTCAATCGTATTGTCACCCATTATAAAATTTTCTGTGTAAAATTTCAAGACCGATGTATGGCTTAGAGTGATTTGCACTGTTACCATAGACCAATACTAATTTTTTTCACCCCCATTCATTCACCCGAATGTAAATGTAAACTCTAAACGAGTTATGTCCACACAGCTACTTGAGTTGTGGGCAGTGAGGCAACATTGGATTTAGTTTTCTAGCCAAAATTTGTATTGACTATCTTAAATCAATTAACCCTTACCACTCTCATGTAGGCCTATGTCCTACACCCTAGGACCTACAATCTATCAAATCTACACACAATGTAAATGCTTAGCAACAGTATATGCCTACATAACATTTTATTATTTACGTATATCTTAATATCACGTCATCAGGTGCATAAGATATTACATGATTAATAGATTGGTGTTGTTTTAATTTTGATAGTTTTGATTTTGGTGTCACTTATTATTATGTGTAATTTTTTTTACTTTTAACCTTTTTTAACTGTCCAGATGAACAAACTAGAATGCTCACAAATAATGCATCGAAACGTTTGACAGAACCTGCCTCATTACAACCCTCTGAGCGAGGATAATTTAAACGGCAATAGTTTGTGTATCTTTTCTGTACACTAAATAAAATGTCAACGGTTCAGTAACACAAAATTAATCAATTTTAACACTTTGGATTTATATAAGACCTTTGCCTGGGCATATACAATGAATATATGTCATTGACAGAATAATTGGAGGAATTTAAAAACTAACACAAAATGTTCAAATTTTCAAATAGCTCTGGAGCCTAAACGGTTTATCGGAGATTACCACATTAGGGGTACATTTTGTAGCAAATTTTGTGTACTTTAATTTTTATAATATAGACTAATACCAAAAAGTTGATAGTTTGTGAGTTATAAGCTAAATATTACAAAAAGTATCATTTCTTCCATATTTTTCTCATTTTTGTCAATGTTGCGTCAAGAATTTTTGTTGGCAAACCTCAGATTCGGATTCAGCACCCCAAAATACATAAGAAATGGAAATAATCAAAACTACCCCAAAACTTTCCTGGTAAAAACACAAATTAACTGAATTAAAATAGTTTAGACCTAAATTAATTAAACCACAGTATAAATCATGGAATCATGTTGATTTTCTCATAATCGGAACAATCTTTTGCATTTTAGTGTGAATTTTTCCGGATATGTAGGCTAAACTCTGTATTCCGGTTAAGCTCAAGAACAATTTGATAAACACAGAATCTCCAATTAGCAACCCAAATAATGCAGCAGCAATAGATTCAAATGACTACTAATATGGACTGTTTATCACTAGCCAATGACAACACGCAAGGAATGGTTCTAGAAAAATATGTTATTTATATTGAAAAGGTTTCCGTATTCAAATATAACACAGAAGTTACTGAACGTGTAAGAAAGAGTTGAAAATCCAAAACGTTATTTTAATCCAATTAAATAAAGTATAGGCCTAGACATAGACTATGTTTTCTCTATGGTAGCCTATAGATTGCAGATAAAACAATCGTAAATACAACTTGCTCTGAATTTTAAATAATTCTCGGTAAAGTCTCGGTGGTTTTAGAAAGTAGAGTAGGGGCAAGTAGGGGAAAACAAATAAACAGTCAATATTGTGCTAACGATAATCATCTAAATATTTTATGTTAGAACCTTCCTTCTTTTCCCCATTCAATATGGGCCAAAATATAATAGATTAATTATTATAAAATACTCATAATTATACGTAATCCAAAAAGTTTCAACGTTAAAGGTTTGAGCTCAGCCTCACAACAAACTTTAAGCATTTTCTCCTTTAGATTTCTTTTTCGTGATGTTCCAATCCAGAGAGCTGAAACCCTACTGGACTGAGGCTGTTTTAGGACTTACTGTAGTCCTCTTCAGCCATATGTAGCTTTATCACCTATGAACCTAAGTGACTTCTAATCTGCATTATTGCTCCCTATATACCGTGCACTGCACTCGAGTCTGGTATTATTTCACTTCTAATTGAGGCCAAGTGAGCCATCACTTTTGAAACAGACTGTACTTCCCCAAACTCCCTGATGAGACTGTACATGCGGGTAGCTCTACTCCCTGGTGAACTGTTTAGCATTAATTTATCTTTATCGAGTCAGATGTTGTGGGTTTTAATTTTTTCTAACAGATAACTTATATATTTGTTAGTTGTGACCTTCACATTCCTTTTTTTAAATTTACAGAAATCTCCTTAGTAGTTGTATATTAACAACACTGCTTTAATTTTATTATGGGGAATATCACAAAACTATGCTGCGAGCAATTCACTTTTGTATCTAAAATCTGTACGTAACTATGTTTCTTTACTTGATGTTTTTAAATAACGATGTAATTTAATGCAAATACATACACGTTTTGAACCATGGAACGAGTTAAAATAATTACTGCTATGTATTTCGTTGTTGATTTATATTTAAATTTGTGAAATTTGTGCCCTGATTAACAATAATAGTGGTAGGTTTTCTAACAAAAGGTAATTCAAGTTTTCCATTAGTTTAGTTTTGCTTATTATTGTGATATATACACACTGATCTGCAGTTAAAGGTTGAACTTTGAAAAAAGCTCATTAGCTACGGTAAAATATATCAATTATATGTGAAATCAATATAAACAGTTTTTTTTTTTTTTTTTTTTCTTTACTACAGTGCTTTATGTTGTGCGATTATTTTTCCTTATTTACTTTATGTACGTTTATGAACAAAATGAATGTTTAAGAAAGCTTATCATTTGAAAATTGAATCGTATGGGTACATCATTTCCATAAATGCATCAGCGCCTCATATAATTCGTGCTATGTAGCCTTATAAGTTAGCCTAGCCTTAAAGAAAGATATTTGTCAAACTAAGAGTTTCAATTGAGTTATGTTTTGAAAACAAAGTTGAATGTGTAACTATTTTATACAACAGAAATCAAGATCAAATTCTTTCGCTTCAGTGTCCATTCCGTTGCGAAGCACGGGTACAACAGCTAGTACAAAATAAATCTATGAAAAAAAAAACACAGACAATTAAAATGCCGTCTTAACGTGAGAATTGTACATTGCATTGGTGACTTTTTTTTATTTAATAGTGATTTTATTATAATAAATTACGTTCTTTCTTACATTTCTTAGAATGTAATTCATTCTATCCTAGACAAGTAACTGATATTGTAATTCAATATCAATTCAGCATTAAAGCAGAGTAGTAAAATATACTACGAGTTTGAGTAAGATGATTGGGGTTGCATTTTTTTCATTTTTGATTCGACATAATCATTTTTGGTGTCATTTGAATTCAACATTGTTAGCAAGAGTTCTCTCTTTTTATAAGTATGAGATGCATTTTACCACAAAAACCATCCGACTAAAATGATCTGAAATCTAACACAAAGAGGTTTACTCCATGAATTGTTATAGACATTTTTTTGTCTCGATATTTTGACTAATGGCTTTTCCACAGGCCTTTAAAGTTCTGAGGTCGGGCTTTGTGGATTGTAATATATTGATTGGTCTCCATGGCAATCAAACAACATTTTTTTTAATGTGACAATAATGCTTTTTAACAACTTTTCAATATATTTATAAACCAAACTCAGCAAGAATAAATTTATATTAAAAGTAGTGTCACACTTACCACATTTCACAGAAATAAACACCAGACGTTATTAGTACTCACCTGAAAACAAAAACACAAATAACTGTATAAAAAACTCTTTTTCATAATAGTACATCACTAGGGTGTAAAGTGACTCATTTCAGAAGCCGAGGTCGGGAAGCGAGCGAGGATTGAAGATACACTTTTTGTCCGTGTGAAGAACTATATTTTTCGTCACATTGCATCATTATTCAAGCAAACTAAGTTACGAAACAGAAATAATCATTTCGCCTACCGTACCTATTACGATTGTGTTAGTATACATTATACTATCGATATGGCCAACTATTGCCAAGAACGAAAAATAAGCTACAACCGATTAAAAAACAATCCGTATATAATTTCGATACATGTAATTGATTGCTATTTAAGTTTACAACTTAGTTTACCACAGCTGATTGTGGGTCCCTGAAACCACAGAAAACATACTACTATATCTACTATGAAACTTGAGTGCGTGCCGAAAAGAGTCTACGCTCTAGTGATGAATATACTAAAACTACCTAGACTCTAAATAATTAAAATCATCTGTACCGGTTGCTCACTTCTAAAATTTGATTAGAATCAATCGCATCTATCCATCGATTGTTTTAATAGATTGTAGCTCATTGTTGCTTAGTGTCTAGCTTAGTTTGATAACAAAATTGAGCAGTATGTCTAAAAATAAAGTTCATCACACAGGCCAGATTGTGTTTCAGCTCGTGTTGAAAAGACTTTACGCCCTAGTGATTAAATATATATTATTGATTGATTATATCATTTCTAGAAATATATTTTTTTAAACATACGTATGGATAAATTACATTTTAATACAGCATAACTATTGATTACATTACAAATAAATTTGAGCTGTTCCTTCATCAATAGCACTTTAAATTTAAATTGTTAATTTATGCATAGTGTTAAAAATACACGTTGTCCGATTTAACGATGTATTAATTTGAGCTTAAAATGAAGGGTACAACAATAATTAAATGATACTCATTTCATTTCATAAAGTTCATTATATAAAGTAGTTGGAAATTCAGTCAATTTGACTTTTAAAACCCATTAGAGTTTATATTGTTTTAACCTAATTACCTTTTCACCCACACATCACGACCTTAATATTATTTTTTTCTCAAAATATTTAACTATTTCCGAACCCTGTGACTACTTGGAATGCAAATACAATATTTATAAATCTACCCAAAACAAACCAAAGACCTTTTAAAAAAATAACCCCACCGCAGCAAACCTGCAGACTAAGCGAATTTCCATTTGCCTGATTGGATTTACACTAAAATGTTTCCTTCAAAATGTCACATTAATTCCTTATTTAAATATAATTAGTTTAACGAGTACAAAGGTTTGCTGCAAAAAAAAATGTTAAAAAATGCTGTAAAATGTTAGTTTAGTAAGATACTATATTATTTGTTTTTTTTTAAGCTCTACAAAATAGTTTATAAATAAATGGTCAATAATGAGAAAAACAAATGTTTACCCCATAAACCCCTGTTCTCATAGTTCGATCATGCTGGTTCGAGAACTTGTTCAAATAAATGTAGGTTTACACGTTTATACCAAATTTCATCAAAATCGGATCATTTTTGCTCGAGTTATCGTGCTAACGGACACACATATATATATTTAAATATATACATATATGAATTTGAACGGATGGTGTTTTTGGCCTCTAGGGACCTCAAAATGGAAAAAGTAAATCGGTCCCAGGTCCAGGTCTACCATGAGTACTACGGTAATAGCTTATTCCCTATATGGGAAATTCACTAAAAGGGTAAAGAATTTGAAAGTTGTTTCCTTTCATAAAGTATAAACTTGTTTGTAAAGAATAGGGTTGAAAAGAAAATTTCATGCTTTGAAACACCATCCATTTTTACAACAAATGGCAAAGAGTTCTCTTTAAACATGAGTAATCTCAACACAGAGTAACGTTTTGCCTGAAGCTTTGTTATAAGTATTCATTTTTGGTGTTTCTTAAAATCTCGAGAAATATTTTCTGTCACTTGGCTTACAATTTTCTACCTTTTTCATATAAAACCATTCGCTTCTTCACACATACAATATTATTTTAGCTTCCTTTATCTTAGACTGAAAAACTTTGTTTATAAAACTACACAACATATTATCTGGTTCGGCTGGAGACATTTTATTTTGGCTTTAGCTTGAAATAATGTTAATGATTTTTAAAAAGATTTCAAAATTAAGGATTCATCAAATAAATAATAAAAAGCTTATATGGACTAGTGTTTGGCATACAGTAGTAAAATCCTTTAAAGTCCCTAGATATTATATTGAAGTAAATTGAGGTTGACCTACTTTTATCAAAACACTTTTTGAAAAGGTGAAATCAATAGATTTAATTACAAACATTCAATCAAATAACATTTATACTAAAATGATTAAAACAAGTCTAAGGAAACCTTACAAGTTTAACTTATAAAATTGACCTTCTGAGCTGAAATAATTCTAGTATAATAAACATATACTTCATTCCCAAAATTTAGACGGAAGTTAACCAACAATTTTTTTTATATATTGCAGCTGATTGACGTTTTTGCAAACCTTAGCTGTTGTGCTTGTTCGTTAGGGCTAAATGGAGGGGAAAGATTTCCTCCCCTAAACTCCCTACATTTTGTGAAGAAGGATAATCATTGACATTGTTTGGATTCAAACATAACAATCTATATATATTATAATTTCTAAAGTACTTTTTTTGTCCATACGCCGGGTACGCCTTAACTTCACAAAGTTAATTTTAATTAATTAATTCTTTAGAAAATTTCCCTATGGCGTTGCCCTTATTATACTGTAATTTTTCTAGTCTCTTAATTCCAAAACCATTGCATTTTATTGTTTTAAGGACTCCAGAAGACAAAAACAAAGCAGCCCACCAGTTGCTCAAGAAGTTAAGCCTTTTCAAATAAATAGGTGAATTCAAAGACCTACTTGGTGGTAAGTCGTTTTCTTCTCAGTTTCGTTGGTTGTCATGTAAAATTAAAAACAAATAAGAAAATTCCCTTGCCTGTAAAAATAGTTCCAAAAATTAATCTATCTAAACTTTCCCTTAACATACAGGTTTGCTGCAACAGGGGTATTTAAGTTTTCCAACCAATAGCTAACGAGTATTATAGTTATGGAACCATCTGCATTAAATTTAACTTGCACAGCAAATGCAACAATATAACGAGGGAAATGCAGTCCCTAATGATATCAAACTAATGACTACAGATGTTGCTGTATTTGTATGATTTTGACAAAGGTTGAAGGTTTATATTATTTTGGGATGAGTATCATTAGAGTGTAGCAAACCAGTATAATGTATAAAGATTTGAATTGTCCACTAATTTTTATGATTTTAAATTGTAATAAAAATAACAACAATACAATGTGACTTAGTATGTTTATCATCATTACCAATCATAGAACAACCAACCACAGACAAATATTTTTAAAGAATTACCATTTAAGACTCTCATTATATTTTCTGAAAACTTATGACTAATGCTTATGTAACTCAAATACCATCGCCACAGAAAACATGCGGACAACTAAAATATCTCCTTATAATTTTAAGATTTATTCCCTTTTTGTAAAATAAAAATTAGGTTTTATAGGTAATTAGGGTTGCTGCCACAGGGAATTGCCAAAATGTTACCTGCAACATAGTTAAAGTAAAAAGTGTGCACCAAAGTAAGTAAATGCAGCAATTAGTAGCTTTCCATACTATAATCAGTGCAAGGAAGCCCACTTTGTCGGGTGATTGTTAGAAAATTAATATTTCACACCTTTTTTATGGAGATACTTAAAATAGTAACCCTTATACTATATCTCTCATGTTATACTTTGTTCACAAAATTAGGCAGTTTAGGGAGAAGAAATTTATCCCCTCCACGTCTTGATCCCAGTGGCGTACAGACAGGTGGGGGGGGGGGGGTCCCAGGCCCCGCACCAACATAGGCCCCCAAATCAGGGCCGTATTCCCCTACACTGCAATTGCCCAGGGCCTCGGCCTAGGAATGGGCCTCACTCGGGAAGAATGTTTTATTATTTATAGATATATATATATATATATTTTTTTTGAGAGGTGGTTACGGCTACATAATGGATAATAGTAAAGCTATGGATAATAAGTAAACTTTTAACTGAGCATGCTTTACAGTTTTACACAATATAATTGAACTACTCATATCATATCAAAAACTTGAAATAACTTCTTCAAATTGAATAACTAAAGATGGATTTGTTCACAAATCATTAGCAATAAATACAACTACCGACAGTTACCGATATAACTAATAACAAAGGATGTCTGTAGTTGAAGCACCTAAATCTAAAACTTGGGGACACATCTCGGATTTTTCATTGGTAATTCCGGTTGGTGGAATCGGTTTCATCAAGAAGCGGGTTAGAAGCATGAATCAATCATCCTGGTCTATCAATTAACCCACTACCCCATCTTGTCATTAACAACCCACATCATTGATCTATGGCTGCCAGACACACTTTATCTTCTTGATTGCTTGTTTTTACTTCATCACTATCACAGAATTGTTAATTGTTTACTATTTTATCTATTATGCTATTTGTTTCCTCTACTAAAAACGTTTTTAAGTGCTGAATTCTGTTTTAGCTAATTAGTATTTAGTAATTAGTAGCCTAAATTGATTGATTGGTAATTTATTTTCCATGCACACAATTTTAATGAAACACATAGAGAAATGTGTACTTGAACTGATGAAGTTATAAGCCCTTCACTATTCTTGTTGCCGTTTTAAGTGTGTTTTACGCCATTGATTTTTATTTTTGGGCCAAAGCCGAGTGGCCTCCATGTCCAGAATTGACCACACTAGGTACCAAACCAGCCACCCTAAGGCCCCTATTACACGAGGTAGCCTGGCGACGTCGCCAGCGGCAGTAGCTGGCGACGCACTGGCCACCAAACCTATAACCAGTTGAGTAGCCAGTTGAGTAGCCAGAATTTTACCGCCGTGGCGCCGTTGTTGTGAGTGCTTGTCTTGCACTTGTACTTGTTATGAGCGGTGTTTACAGTGAATAATGAGTGATTATAAGTATCTTCTCCTTCTGTTACTTCTGAAGAAAATGAGGCAAAGGAAGAGAAAAATGTACGTTCATCCAATGCTTAGTGCAAGAGAATCAAAAGGGTTATATTACACCCTTTTTGATGAGCTCTGTGCGGACAATAAAAAATGTTTAAATTATTTTCGTATGTCACAATCCAGTTTCTTCGAGTCGTAAAGGATGATATAGACATTTTATCAACTGAAGTGAACAATTTACACACTCACAACACAACAGAACGCAACACAACAGTGTGCAAGTACCCCCGTGATATGAACTAACCGAGTGGCGACGTGATACTGGCGACCTAGTGTAATAAGCTCCATATGCTACAACGCAGCGTCGCCAATATGGGTAGCCAGTGGCTACCACAGTGGCGACGGGGCTCGGTAGCCAGTCGGTCGCCAAAGTGTGGCTGCGTCGCTGGCTACCCTCGTGTAATAACATCCATAAGAATCAATGCCCCATGACAAGCTGAGTAGCCAGTTTGGTCGCTGGCGACGTCGCCAGGCTACCTCGTGTAATAGGGGCCTAAGATAATCAAGCGCTTAACAGTCTGTGGTCTTTGACCACTTGGATATCAAGACAAAACATAAGAATAAAGAAATTTGCTTCCTTCGGTTTTGACAAACGAGCTATTTCTGTGATTGAATTTTCCCTCCATAACAACACCCTAAAGCTCTTCATGTACCATATTGTAAATAATCTGGTCTTAAAAACCACAAAACCAGATATGTTCCATTACCAGAAAACCTCCAAATTGCAATCAATGAAACTGATTTTGAAATTATCAAAGTACTGATTTGATGGATAATTAGTTTTTGCAATTATCCATAATAACAGATACACAGACACAGAAAGAGTAGAGTAGATACCAAAATAAACACAAAAGTTAGGCGATTGTTCATATGCTTTGCAAAACATATAGGGCTGCAAGGAGGGGAAAAATTCTCTGGCAGGTAAGGGGCACAAATTAATATCTCTCAGGACCTTAGCGTGTCACAATGAGAATCTGTGTATATACATCCAAATCAAACGAAAATAAGTTCCCATTATAAGGCGATAGCCCCCACACCCCATCTCCCTCCAACCAAAGCTTATGTTTGAGATCTGCCGTTGACTATATACTAGTCTATATATACACTTAGCCAAAATCTGGCAATTCTAGCGATTGTACTGCTCATGGTGTTTCTTTAAATTTAAATTGGACAATTTCTTTTCTTCAAAATTAAAAACAAATAAACTTTTCAAGAAATCTTTAAAAGTTGTACCGTACCCAGAAATGTTGTAGAGGTAATAAATAACTTGTTTAAATAACAAAGAAGTCTACTCAACACAGAAGATGATTATTCTATTACCGATTGTTACAACTTCATCAAGTGGACAATGTAATTATGATGGTTTTCCAGCAGTTACAACAGTACAATCACCCGAACATACAAGCTACAATGATTACAGCGTGTTTTGTCGGGGAGCAATCAGTTGCTAATCACTCCAATGCTCAGAATAATAATGTTCTCTTTGTAACTGGTTGTTCTTGGTTATTCTATTTTATTTTATGTAATCCTGGGTATAATCTAACTACATAAAAAAGCTACCGAATATCAGTTTTGATCCTTTATAAGAAAATTTATTGAAGTTGAATGAAAATACCACACAGTCTAATCTTTTCATGGTTGTGTTTTATCTCTCATACTGTGTAGCTAAATGTTCAGCAAGTACTCTAATTATTACAGTATCAATATATTTTCACCACTTCTATGTAGCCGTAACCACATCTTTTCAATAAAAAAACTCATATAAATAATAAAACATTCTTTCTAAGTGAGGCCCCTTCCTAGGCTGAGGCCCTGGGCAACCGCCGTGTACGCCATTAGGGGAAAACGGCCCTGATTTGGAGGCCTATGTTGGTGCGGGGCCTGGGGCCTACCCCCCCCTCCACCCGTTGGTTGGGATCAAGACGTGGAGGGGATAAATTTCTTCTCCTTAAACTGCATAATTTTGTGACCAGTGGCAGATATAGAAAATTTTTTGGAGGGGGCCGAGATTAATTTAAGGTTAGTTAAGTCATTTCAAGTAGACACGCTACGACTTTATCTAAGATTTGCTGCGGTAATTTGCGCTAAATGTGAAGTTTCCTTTACCAAGATCACGCTGTATCATTAAATTGGTCCATTAAATTTTAAAAATGTATCTATTCAAGCCAAATGAAGAAAATATCTCAATTACTAAATCAATAAACATTGATCAAGATTTAACAGTGTGTCGTTCCATCTGTAAACACTTATCCAAACCTATGGGAATCAAATACCTACGTGATTGTGATTATCATATTCGGAGGAGTTCTAACTACTGTATAAGTTTTTGTGCTAACTGCAAAACGTTAACATATCAGTACAACGTCGAACAGATTTAAATAGGCCTGACAAACAATAACGATGGCTACCACACTGAATTGACTGAACTATTCTAACTCCCCTCCCCTGTCGCCGGTAGATATGCTCTGGTCTCTAGCAGTCACTGCTGCAAGCGAAGATAGCCAGGCGACGGGCGGGAGCTCGAGTCGGTCTGGAAGCACAAGCGTCTACAACCTGACTGATCACTTATGGCAAACGATAAAAACAGGCCATCGCTGATAAAAAAGAACTAGCTTTTCTTGGTGACTATGCGATCTGACGTCTGTTTTGTTTAGCTCTCCTGGTCCCGTCCCAAGTCCTGCTTCGTTTCAGTTCACTTAGTTGTTTGATTAGACCTAGCTTAGCTTTCTTTACTATTTTGAACTTGGAATGTTTTTTAAAAGAGGATCCGAATTTCTTGTGGTAAATTACATTATTTGTATTTATGATGTGTCTGGTAGGAAATGAAAAAGGATCGAAAGGACTTTAGTTTCTGCTGTGAACAGTGTGGTAAACACACTGCTGTGAACAGTTACAAGCACAACTTTACTGTCTATCTCAAAAAGAAGTCAAGAATTATGACCATATGATAGTCATTTGGGTAATAATCAATGGAAAACCGATGGAAAAACTATTTTGTTGACTTTTTACTGTTATATTTTAACTTTTTATATTCTTTTGCAAATAACTTACTTATCTTGGAAGGTAGGTTTGGGCCTATCATCAATTGACTTTATAAATTAATAAACGTTTTCTGTGAATGTTCAGTTTGGTTTGATGTTCAGCCATAAATTAATAAACCCAAAAGTTAAGTTAGGCCCTCCCCCCCCCCCCCTTATATACGCCCCTGTTGTGAACGAAGTATAATGTGAGAGACAATGCATGAGGGTTACTATTTTAAGTACAGTATCTCTATAAAAAAGGTGTGAAATATTAATTTTCCTACAATCACCAGACAAAGTGGGCTTCCTTGTACTGATTATAGTACAGAAAGCTGCTAATTGCTGCATTCTTACTTACTTTGGTGCACACTTTTTACTTTATCGCACACCAGTATTCCAACCAAAAAAACACAAACAGCACACTTTCATTATGCACGTAATCCGTGTACGCTTGGAAATAGGTTGGCAACACTTAAAGATTGACTACGATCAGCTGGTGAAGCGCTTCCCATTTCCTTCAGTGTTTGGATTAAACCTAACCTAAAAACGTGTTGTACAGTGTTTGAAAGACTAATTATTTATTTGCCTTATAGTAACTCTAGGAAAAATATAACGTGTAACACAAGTGCAAACTGCCTTTACTGCACTTGAGAAATGTTTTTTTTTTATCTACATTGCAACATTTTCTAAACCTAGACTGAAGTTCCCAAGTTTGCAGTGTCTTCAAATGATTTAGATAAAATTTAGATAGGATTGATAAAGAGTAAATGGAGTCAAATTTTAAAATGTTGGGTCTAGACTCAACCTCTGTACAGTGTACTTACATCCAACAACTATAATTATTTGAGGCCTAAATGTTTTTTCCAAATCAATTTTTTTTTTTTTTTGGCCTTATGTTTTTAATGATTTAGGAATTAAAGATGCAATGAAATTTGCTTGAAATTATTACGACCTGTATTTTGGATTAATTGGCTAACAAGGTAATTTAAACCAAGTTTCTTCAGTAGTTCAGAGGCTTAAATGATTGAATGTGAAGATAAATTTTTAACTCACGTTTAGTTGGTGGATGATTTTGTTGTACGCCCAGTGCCACCGCTCCTTGGCCGTCTTCTTCCTCTTTGGCTGATCTCCAGTGACGATTTCTTGTTCTCCAAACGAAGATTTCTGCTCAATCGGTGGAGGCATTTCTTCTATCACATAATCATCTCCTGGCTGATCGAAGGATTGCTCATAAGACTGATCATAATCTTCATCTAACGTGTCTTGTCGCTTGGGTGGTGAGGGCGATGTTGGTTTGGGAGTTGTAGCACGGTAAGGCTCGATAAGTGAGTTGGTGTCTGGAGGATAGCGATCAACCACAGACACGGGAGAATCTCTAGAATACTCTTTTGTATCCTGAAGAATGTCCTCTTCGATATAACTATCTAATGATTCCGGTTGCCGTTGAAGAATTCTCTGGTTGTGGTTTTGGCTTGGAAAGTTAGAGGTAGGAGTGGCAACAGGAGATGGTTTCTGAGACAAAACTTGCTCTCTTAGCTGAAGACTATTGTTTCTGGAACTGTTCCGTTCTGGTATTGCTGGCCCGATTACACCAGGACCAGAGCCGTAAATATCAAGGTCCTCTCTATTGATATGACTGTTGCTACCATACCTATCATTCTTATCTACTAACGTACTACCGTACCTATCGTTTTTCTCCTGTATATTATTATATCTATCGTTTATCATTTCTTGAGTCAAACCATGATTTTCTTGCACCGTATCGTTCAATATATCTTTTTCTTGTATTGAATTGGAATATCTATCGTTTTCTTGCGCTAAATGATTGTATCTATCGTTTTTAATGTCCATGATAGAACTATTACTGTAACCTTTCTCATGGACCGAGACGTTATTGTACCTATCGAGTTTATCAGTCATTGTGTTGGGTTCAGGCACGGGTGTGTATTCACTATTAAAGCTCTGGTGTCCCTGAGCGCTAACGGAAGACATTGCAGTTTCAAAGGAATCCCTGAGATCGTCATCTTTAGATTCCAGTGAGTCTGTATTTTGTTGGAATATTCTTGGACTCTCCAGTCTCTGCCTACCTTGAAACTGCTTCTTCAGCGTGTCTCTCCTGCTCAGAGTCTGCTGATCTTCTTCAGGCCTTTGTACTTGGACCGTTGGAGGTTTTTCTCCATAATAGTTGTATGTAGGTTCTTGATAACCTTGCTGATTTATAGTTGGATAAGCTTGTTGATCTGTTGTTTGGTAGTTCTGTTGATTAGTGGTTTGATAGCCCTGTTGATTCTGTGTTGAGTAAGCTTGTTGGTTGGTTTGATATCCTTGTTGATTAATTGCTTGATAACTTTGCTGATTATTCCTTTCATATACTTGTTGATTGGTATCTTGATACGCATCTTGATACGCTTGTTGATTTGTTACTCTACTAGTTACCGTATCTTTGTATTGGTTTGAAGGTATGATGACCTCCGGTTGAGTAGGTATTAGATTATCTGTGCTCTGATATGCATAGTTGTAGTCTTCATTGTAGTCAATTTGTTTGTTGCGCGTATCTTGGTAATAGTTAACTTCTTCTTGAGGTTCTTGGTATTCTAAAGATCCTGTTCTTTTTGCAGGTTTGTGTTGTTGCGTTTTGACTGGAGTAGGTGGCAAAGAGGGAGAAGGTTTTATTTTCACTGGAATCTGTGGAAGCTTTTTAGGTTTATTTCTACTTCTAGGCGGAGGGAAGTCCGGATCGTAATCGTCATTGATTTGTTGACTCATCGACTGAGATCTGCTGCTGTTGAACTGTTTTCTTCGAGCTGTGCTACCACTAAAGTCATTTCTCACTTGGTAGTTTTCATCTTCATAGCTTTGTTGGGTGGAATAGTAAACCTGTGAAACACAATTGGTTATTAATATTGACTTATAAAAACTAACATCAATATATTGCTAAAAACCTCAAATTTAATGGCAAAATCCATCTTAAGGGAATAATCTCTGAGTTAACTTCCAAATAACACTTAGTGCAAGGGGGGGGGGATATGCCTTAGAAAGAATAAGAAATGCTTCCACTAAACTTCATTAATAGACAATACTGTTACTGAAATAATAAAATTTTGATGAAAAACATGAGAAAAACATCTTGAATTGTTATAATGAGTTTTCTTTACTGATCTCAGACAAGTTGTCGCACTTGCCAGCATCCACTCAATACAAAAAGGAAAAAGCTCATAACAACTAGACTGGAATTAATTATTGGTTGTTATTATTTTTGTTTACTTTTGCCGTTACACTTTTGCAGGAGGTTTAGCTGTCTCGAATTTAGAAATTTTAAATCTAGTTCAACGATTCAATTGGTCTTTCAATAGTCCGGCCTTTTTCCTAAATCTTGCAGACTGGCTAACCGTTTACGCCGGATTAACTAGGTACTATTGTGCAATACAAACTAATTAAAACCTTACATCATCATCCATAGACTCGGAGAACCCTCTGGTCAATTCTCGGTTACTGGAACTTCTTTTCGTTCGCGATCGGTTGATCTTGTTTTCATATCTATTTTGACGGTAGTAGTTGCTATAGTAATAGTCCTGCCCCTGTCCCCCACCCCCTCCCCCCGAGTCCCATTGCCGATCCTCTTCTTCTTGACCATATCTGGAAAAAAGCAACAGTTATGAAATATTAAATAGTGTATTGATTAAGTCAGCTACACACACTTGGATGAATGTTTTTAAAGCTGATGAATGTAGGATTAGATAGTGTAGGATGAAGAAAGGTGTCCAAATAGTTTGTTCACAGGCCAAAAGAAACTGATCTCAAGCCAAGATAATTTGATTAAAACCTCGGATCCATGCATAGATTATATGAGTTTTATATGGCAACACAGAGAGTGTGTATTTTAAAGGTAATGATAATCATAGAAGACACTGGAGCATCAAAAGGTCCTCTCAGAGGTACTTATGGATATTCAAGCTGCATTCAACAATAAGTTTCAACTCCATAGAGGCTGCAATTAGGGACAGGAAAATTTTCCCGGGCGTTATTTTAAAGGTTATAGCACTCCTTAATAACAGGGAAATAATGGCTGAGATTGTTGGTTACTTTGCAATAATCATGGAACATCCAGGATGTCCCCAAATGGAGAGTCCTTTTTCTCTTGTTGTGGGCCTTGGTACTTTTTAATTTTAATGTTCTCTGAGACCAAAAAAAATTTATACAATGTAAGTTATGTATATTTTACAAATATGTGTCCGTAAACGTGATACCGTAACTTGAGTAATTTTGGTACGATTTTATTTAAATTTGGCTTCATTTGAGAGGGATAAAATTGAATGAGTTCGCAAACCGGCAAGATCGGGCCATAGGAATGAGGTATTATGGGAGTTTTAAAACTTCAAAAATTGGGTTGATAAAATGTGTTCCCTAAACATGGAAATTTCCATTCTTATAACACCCATTGTGTAGAGCTTAAAAACTAAAAATTTTGTATATTGAAGTGTTTATCTACAATTAAAGGTACCGGTAACGTAGACAATAAAAAAAAAAATATTTTTTTATTATTTATTCTTATGGAGAATACTGTTGTAGTTTATTTTTTTATGGATATACATGTTGATGGAATTTGGCAAATTTATTTATTTCATCCTACACCATTAACGTTTGGTAAAAAAAAAATACTTTTTACCCTCCCCGTAGCAACAAACCTAACCTGAAATATAACGTAATTTACATGGGGGATAAATATGTCTAGCTTATAGAAATATATACCCTAGCATAAATCCAATCAGACAAATTGTAATTCGCTTAGCCTGCAGGTTTTCTGCAGCAGGTGTATTTACCTAATAGAACATAAAGGTTGAGTTGATAAGTTTCAAGATTGATTATTTCCTGTGCTTCCTGACTGGTCACGTGGCCCTGGCTGGGTGAAGGGCGGTAGGTAACCGTCGAGACGCTTAAGTTAAAGTATCACGCATAAACTTAGAGAGTGTTTTGTGATCATGTCAAAACATTGTGAGAGTCTAAATTCAGCGTGTGAAGAAACAGCGGTTTTCTATAAAATTCTATGACAAGAACGGTGTGGAAACGCTTTAGATGCTTCAGCAGGCCCACAAGGAAGACGTAATATTAACGTGCCATAGTTTTCATGTAGCACAAGCGGCTTAAAGATGGCCTCAAAGACTTTGTTCATACTGGAAGGCCTGCAACGACTCAAAACCATGAAAATCTGGCCAAATTTTGTAAGTGTTGAACAGTGACGCAAGCTTGAGCATTAGGCTCATTACGGAAAGAATAACATTGAGCTACAATGTTTCATTTGGTTTCTGAGGATTTTATGATGAGGCTCATGCAGCGTCTAGTAGCAGTTCAGATTTTGGCCCGAAACAACTTGGCAACACTTCCACGGCCATCCTAGAACCTGGACCTCACCCCAGTGACTTCTTTTCATTCTCCCATTGAATATGGACTTGAAAGGGAAGCGGTTTGGCACTGTCGCAACAGTTCAAAGGGCTTCGACAAAGATTCTGAACATCATTCCAATAGATAAACTCCATGAAGCCTTCCTGTTAGTGGATACTCGCTGGCAGCATTGTATCGAATCATAAGGAAAACATTGGAAAATATAAGATTTTTTAACCACTTAAACCGCTTCTATACATTTGTTTTCCTAAGACCAGCCAGTCCAGAAATATAATTAACACACTCATAGTTGCATGTATGCCAAAAAATAGCAATCGCAAATAATGGTAACTAGAACATTACCGTATGTAAGATGATGATATATATAGCATCATGATGTTTCTAACGCCTCGGTAGTAAGAAAGTAAGTAAGATCTACAGACAAACCTGCTATCATCCTGGTAGCCGTAGTTTGTAGAATTGTAGTAGTCTTGGTTGTAATTTTGCCCCTGGTTGTAACTTGTGCTGAAAGAAATCAAATACATTAACTCCATTGACAATAATCACTGTTTTGGCACACTTTAAATAGAATAGGCCTATAAGCTTAAAAAACTCAATACAGGGTGTCCCGTGAGTAGACAGTAAACTCCACCCGATCTTCATGAAACCAATAATAACCAAGACTCGAAATTGAAGTTTGGCGGTTCCTCTGATATGTTAGACACAAGTTCCTATAGGAAAAGGTTCTGGTTGTAACCAAAATGAAGTGGAACCTTACTAGCTTAAGCCCCGTGTACACGAGGCTAGTATTAGCGTTAATTAGTGGTAATAAATTTGCTCCGTGTAAACGGTCTATTAGCGTAAAAAATTACTAGCGCGCTAGCATTTTACTCGCTGCTAGTCGTTTTGAACATGTTTGATATTACTAGCGCTAATAAGTGGAGGGGGTGGTCACGTGACCACTAGCGCTAGCAAATTAGCGAGGTACTAGCGGGGTATTTGCACTTCTGCTAGTGCTAATCACCACTCGCCATACGCCAGTGATAGTGCATCAGTTGTTGTTTGTCTGACAAGTAGAAGTGTTTGTTACCTAAAGTACTTAGTACTTAAAGTACTTAAACTTAAAGTACTCTGTAGGGTCTTCCAATGCCAGATCTCTTAAAAGAGTATTGGACGCACCAAAAAGTTCTCGCCTCATAATTCACTTTCAAACCCACACAGATCGTCTCTTTTGATTAAGTTCATGTTCACACAACTCTTGTACACCAATTCTTAAAATTTGTCTCAAAACATTTCGATTTAAGGGAACAGAAGACATTTTGTGCTAAAATGTAATCGCTATTGCGACCAATGAACACTTCACTTCTACATGACTAGCGCCAATAACTAGCCACGTGTAGATGGGAATTTTCGCGCTAGTGTGCCCAGCTAGTGCTAGTAGCGAATATTAGCTGCTAGTAAACTAGCTACGTGTACACGGGGCTTTAGCCTTATTCTACCTCATTTTACAACTAAAAGTGTCATTTTACAGCATTTCAGCAATTTTTTATTTGATTTGTTTTAACTTGGTGTCATTTGATAGGAGATTTAAAATGCCAATTAAAAGCGTTTTTATCCTTTTTTATTTAAATAGTTTTTTTCCCAATTGAAATGTTGAAAATTAAAACGGCCATCATTTAAAGCTTTTAAATTAGTCAAAATTAATAGTTTTTTTTTATATGGATCTCTTCAATTTAACATACATAGGCCTACCAAGTTTCATCAAGATCGGTTGGAACAATTCAAAGCTAAAATATGTTTATGAAAAATACAAAATTGTGAATCTGGTTTATGAATATGATGAAATTTTGGAAAAGTTTCATTCTTTATGTTCTCTTTTTTTGACATAGAACCGTTTCCTCATATTTAATTCTGAACTAGTCCTCGCAGTATGTTGTTAAACTATCTAAAATACCTGTCAGTCTGAGGATATGCATCTGCATCGTAGTACTTTTCCTCGTATGAATTGTAAGGATCATCATACAGAGTTGTCTGGCGTTCCAGGCTGGGTCTTCTGTTTGTGTTGGGACCTGGAATATGTCAAACATAAGATTTGGTACAAATCAAAACCCTATAACCATATTAAAATAGGTGTATACAATTAGATTAGGAATTGTAGTGCAGACGTTATTAATGAAGGCTTGAGAAATATCAATAAGTTTGCTGAGTATCCTTACCCATCCTCCTACCCTATCCTCCTGATGATCACCTCAGCTTTTATGAGTTTGTTTAATCGTATCTACTAAGTTCAACTTTTTTTTGCGTCCATGAAGTTCCAAGCAACAAATCTTCTGTAGGTAGAATGAGTGGACGCTACTATCAACCTCAATTGCAGTAACCTCTTTTGCCTTTACAATCAAGGGTGCTCACAGGAAATTTTCTCAGGTTAGGCCAACCGGTATCTTTTTTTCAGAGATCGGGGAAAACCCTCCCCCCTCTTTTTTGTGTGTGTATTTTATTACATATACTTTTTTTGTTCATATATAAACTACATAGATGATCTTTTTTTCAGAAAAGAAAAGAATTTCATTCATTGGACATCTTTTAAGGACCCCGGAAAATAGAAGCAAGAAAATAATTGACAAGTTGTGGAATAGCAAGAGTGACTTTAGGTGGATTACAGAGATTAACACGTTCGCTACTGAGCGTCGCATATAAGCAGAACTGCCGCTATTGGGCAGCTAACAATCCTCGAGAAATGCATCAGAAACAACTGCATAGTCCCAAAGTTACAGTGTGGTGTGGGGTCTCAAAAGTTGGTATCGTAGGACCTTACTTTTTTGAAGAGGATGGTGCAACTGTTACAGATAATTCTCAACGTTATTTTGAAATGCTATGCACATTTTTGCAGCCACAACTTGAAGCTTTGGGGATCGATATGGCAGACATATGGTTTCAACAGGATGGAGCCACAGCCCACACGAGCAATACATCCATGGAAGTCGTAAGAGAAATGTTTCCTAATCAAGTGATTTCACGTTTTGGTGATCTCAATTGGCCTGCACGCTCGCCAGACCTATCACCATGCGACTTCTTCTTATGGGGTCATCTGAAATTCAAAGTGTACTGTTGTAAACCACAGTCTATTGAGGAGTTAAAGGCTGCAATATGTGAAGAAATTGTTGCAGTATCACTGGACACTCTGACAAAAGTTATGGAGAATTTTGAAGAGAGACTTTTGATGTGCATGAATGCAGAAGGACGCCACCTCTCCGATGTTATTTTCAAAACCTAAAAAGGTACTTTGGATTTCACAATGACCAATTCTTAAATTGGATTTATTGCTGGTTGTAAGTTATTGGTATTATAAGAAGTATTGTGTGTTTATAATAAACAAACTTATAGCATTTCAAAATCCATGCGTTCTTTTTGCGCCACCCAGTATTTACCATATGGCAATGGCTTGAACTACGTCCTAGTCTAATATTAATTGTATTTTAAAAATAGGGATAGGCCAATAACAGAATTTCTCGATTCGATACCAGTTCTGAAATGAAATATTACTCACAACTTTCGATACCGTTTCCTAAAAAAACTTATATTTTTAAGGAGCAATGGTCAATGTTTTGTTGTTCGTTTACATTCTGAGTCAGACAACTGGCGTAGTTTATGCCGGCCCAAAATTATCATGCGCTCTCTGTTATTTATTGTAACCAAGTCTGATAAGTAATGGAATCAGCGAACCGTTCTTGCTTTTTACAAAACGAAATAGTCGTAGACTGAAAAAATCCAAATGGAGGTAGCACAGGCACGGCAACTCTGCTAGAAAATCGAGCCGCTGTAAAATGTTGTTATGTTGGTACCACTAGAAGAATCAACCAGCTCATTGGCTGTTGGCTTAGTTGTAATCCCACACAATCCCCTAGTTTCATTGTAATATTCCCCTAGTACATATGGTGGCCAACATATCTCAATTCCCGCATTCAGTATTCCGTGCTACCTTCGGTTGTAGGTTGTAGCTCTAGTTCAGTGCGAGCATTCGAGCAACTATTGCTACCAATGCCGGTATCATCGACTTAACCTTGACCACCCGCAATAAGTATTTGTCTGCGTTGTGTAGCAAGCAATTGGCGGAACTGTACCGTAGACTCGTAGACACTAGACGACACAATGATTAAAGTTACACAATAATATGATTCCTAATCGAGGCTCGCCTGTGGATTGAATTGATGTGTAGTATTTAATATGTTATTTAAAATTCTATGAACAGAGTATGCCTATACTATCGATCAACGAATTTTAAATTAACAAGTGTACTTACAACAACCATAAACAACCAATAATAAATATTTTCCGTCCAAATAAAGTATACCGACCGACCATTTGATTTAAACGTAGGTTTTAAAAGATGTAACCGATTAGTCGTCTGTTATTTTTGCCGTGTGTCAAAAGTAATTACGTAACTTTTCATTGCAAAGAGTACGGTAGTCATTAATGGTTGTATTTTTTTTAAATGGTTCCATTCCATTCTTGCTTTTTTAATTACCCTAACCCCATTTATAATTAATTATTTTTGGGACTCGAGATTCAATTTTTGTAGGATTCGGATTTGAGATTCAAAATTCCTGGATTCGGCCATCACTACTCCCAAGGCCCCTCAGTGTGCGCCGGTTAAAAAAGAAGGAGTAAAATCTCCTAAAATGAAATTGAAAGAGAAAAAATGAAAGGAAAGAAAAACGATTTAGAGGAACGAGCCAAATATAAGAAGAAAGCTTGGCCTCGGAAAATGTCTTGAGCATGAAATGAAGGATCTCCCAACACACTTGTTAGTTGCTTCTTACAACAAATTGAGGGAAGGTGCGGTCCTATTCTAGCTTGTTAAACCGAACAGAGTTTGGATATGTTATTAGAACTAGCTTGGTGTAAACAAAAACTGTGAATCACTGACTATTTAGTTATCTTGCACAGTAGGGTGGCACTGGCAATAAGTAAGTCAAGTCAGTTATGAGGCATGACTAAACCCTAATAACCACCTCAAGTTTGAGAGACTAGCCTGAGAGTTATAGACCTTAGGATGTAGATTTTGAGGAATAATTGTTATTTTTTAAACTATAAAGAGAATTGTGACATTATAATGCAAACTTATATTTGTTAATTTGGTCTAATTAATGAGTTGTGATGATTTTATTTAGAATAGTTGTACCTTTGTTGCGCTTGTTGGGAGTGGCTCTTGTGACAGGGGTGTTGTATTGCTGAGGAGGGTAGATTCTTGTGTTTTCCGGGGTCTCAAAGCTCTCCGTGTACCCGTCTTCATACCATGTTGTCTGACTGTGATACAAAGTTAAAATTAGGGCTCATCTAAATCAAACAAACCTACAACATAATACCGTGATCATACTAGATTATTCCTAAAACCTTGTAGAATAACGTCAAATTAAATCATATTATTTTTATTCCGAGTTTCACATATTTTTTTACAAAAACACATTAGTGTACTATAAACTCAGATCCATGAATGGTAAAACTTATATAGTAACTTATAAGTTGTGAAACCATGTGTAGTATTAGACTTGACCATTGTGGGTTCCTCTGAAAATGAAGCTATTATGAAATACGAGGGCTGTCCATAAATTACAGTCTCCATCGAGTTCCCCTTGAGGGCTAGCGATCTAAGCCTAGTTCAAATCTGAGACCATATCATTATCACTTCATTCAGTACCAGTGATACAACCAGTCAATGCAACTGTCCTAAACCAAAGGGCGATTTAAAATAATCGTTACAGCTGGTTCCTCCTATGGGATGGAAGATTATAGTCTCGTCATGTACAGTAGCCATGTAATCAAATTCTTGGTGGGAGTGTCAATTGGTTGGGAACTAATTTAAATAGGACTGGATGAAGTAAAAACATTGAGTTGGTTCCAGATTTGAACTGGCTTGCTTGGTTGCTAAAGAAGTTTGATGGAGACCTTAATCCATGGACAACATTGTTACAATATATACTAAACTGGAATGTATGTATGACTTCAGTGATAGAACAGTATATGCGTTTTGCATGATAATCCCTAATATAATATGATTTCTACTAATTGTTTGGCAGCAGCTTTACTCAGTTGTGCTGATTGTATCAAGCACGTCTCACAGAATTGGTTGAGAAGTATCGGAACAAAGGTAGACATCTGGAGTAAAAATAATAGATAGCAGGTTGCATCTCTCTAAATCATTCAAATGCTCTAACAAAGTGAAAATATAAGCAGCATTAGTTATATCTAATATTGTATTACACTTTTCTCCACTTACCTGTCTTCATAATCCCAAGTTTTCTTTCTCCTCCTAAGACAAAACAAGAACAGTGTCAATATTACCTACCATATATATATTTTTAACTGCTTGGAAAAAATCTACTTATAAATTCATGACCAATCAAATAAAAATATTTTAACTGTAATCCACATTGGTGTTTTGATTCTCTGTTAATTGTATACCATTGTTTTCTTATGGTTGACAGGTGAAACCACAAAAGATTTGAGCATGAGCACTTTGTAAAATAGCAATACCCTACATTACAAAACAAACCAATTTGCTCTAGAATATTTAATTTTAAATTATGAATACTCACAATACACATTATCATAGATATCATGTGAAGAGTCAGAGTAGTTAAGACATCTTAAAAGAGCAGGACAAGAGGCTAGCTGTTAATTATTTTATAGTAAGCAAGAAGCACATACTGTTGTAGGAATACAAGCAGGATTCATATTAGAGGTAAGTGATTATGCAGGTGACATCAGCTTTAAGACAATATTCCTAGCTTTGGAACAAAAAATCTAACTGCAATTTTGATTTTTTCTGCAAAAGTGTTAGTTGAGTGGGTTTTATGACACTGACATTTATATTTATAGAATAAATAGACTCTAGACCTGCCCTCTGTGTGTACTTCATGTTTCCTGTTACTGGGTTTTAGTAATGTATATTTGTTTTGTTCGTGCGTTTGTCTGTGATTTGTGTAAATGTGACTTCAAAGGATTTTAACTTTGACGACTTTCTCTGGAACGCAATTTTGATGTCCTTCACAGCCTGAAGAAGTTCCCCTCGGGATAAAACTGCAGTACCTATAGACTGCTAAGGATCACTTTGACAGTACAGTAGACTCTCAGTAATCCAAAAGATATAGGACCATGATAATGCCGGATTAGTGAAAATGCCGGATTACTGGAATGTTATCAATAAAAACACTTAAAATGCATTTAAAACACGTCTCCGAAGATCACGTGATCTGAAACAGCTATTCAAGCATGACATCGGTGACGTTTCCGTGACCGCTGGAGTCGTTGATAATGTCTAAACGTTCGCAAGAGATGTTGTTTGTGATTTTGGCACGATCCTGACGACGATGACGTTTCCGTTACCGCGGGAGTGAATAATGATGTTTACACGGCCGCGGGAGATGATAAAGTTTTTGCCGTGACCGTAGGAGACAATGATAATGTCTACACGACCACGGGAGATGTTCATGATTTTGCTGCGATCGCGCAAGACGACAATGACGTTTCCGTGACCGCGGGTGTAGATTATGATGTCTAAACGGCCACGGAAGATGTTCATGATTTTGCCACTATCGCAAAAGACGATTATGACGTTTCCATGACCGCGGGAGTGGATGATGATGTCTACACGGCCGCGGGAGATAATCAGAATTTTGCCTGGAAGACCTCACCCGTCAAAAGATGCTGGATTACTGGAATACCGGGGTGGTGCAGTGCCAAATTAGAGAGGGTCTATTGTATAAGGTATTTAAACCTTAGTGGTAGCTTCAGAAATATAGGTGATGGATCGATCCCACCTATTGCTGAAATACATAATCTATATATAAAGCCAAAAGTACCCATGAACTTTTGAGAAAACTACAAGTCACACCCCCATAAACCATATACTTAAAATGTTCCTCATGAGAAACCTTGCGCAAAATTATCCTTAATTGCCCTATTAGGTCGTAATTGCTTTCCAAAGGGAACTTTCCATTTACCTAATGTTAAAAATACCTCAGCTGTTATTATTTGTTTGTATTACCATCACTGTATTCTGTTTTGTTTATTTCATCTTAACTTAACCAATCAATAGTTTTATTAATACTAATGTAGTAAAACGGGGTGGAGCCCGTGAGTAACAGCTAGTATGGACTAATTGTATATTCCAGTCTTTATAACTATCATCTTTGACTATTGATAGAACTAGACATTCCACCCACATGTTACAGTTGTCATTAGTTTTTGAATCAAAATCGTTGCAGTTGATGTGAGCCACCAACAGATTAGATTGTGCTAATGTAAATTACAGATTTCTGTCCAATACATGAACATTTATACCAAGTCAAACCAATTGAATGACTTTTTATGAGCTATAGCAACCATTAAAACTCAAAAATTTTGTTAGCATAAATAGGGTAGAAAATACAATTTTAGGCAGCTTCATTCAAGTTCTTTTTAAATAAAAAATCGGCGACAGGTGATCCATATCTAAATGGAATGACTACTTCTGTATCCAATAATTCATGTTATCCAGTAAAAGTGAAATCACAATATATGTTTTCACTAAATGACATTCTTATATCTCGAACTGTACAAAACATATGTCAATAGTCACACCTAAATCATGAAGACTTATCGGCTTGTCATGTGTTTCAAATGGGAACAAGTACCAGCTTAGCAAGATGAATAAGAGCAATACAGTTGAACCTCGTTTGTACGAACCTCGATAAAACGAATTCCTCGAGAAGACAAATTTTTTTTAATCCCCTTGACACTTTCATATAGGTCAATGCTAAAAATACCTCTATACAACGTAGTAATTAAGTTAAAAACCTCCATAAGACGAATTTGTTTGTGACATGGGCTAGGACCGATTAACCTCTATACAACGAATATTCTTAGCACAAAACCTCTACAAGACGAACGTGACCTCTATAAGACGAATTTATCATAATCTTAACCTCCATTGTACGTAGTTTTCAAAACAAACAGAAGCTTGTCTCAACATGAAACCCCCACTCATCCCTCCTCTTTCCTCAGTCATTGTTTGGAGAAACCTTGGAGCGAGGAGAAACCTCTATAAGAAGGATAACAGCAGCATTAAACCTCGATAAAACAACCCTCTTTATTAAGAATACTTCTATAGTACGAATTTTTCCCGTACCCCTTGAAATTCGTCTTATAGAGGTTCAACTGTACTAAGAAAGCCACCTCACAGGTTTTCAAACATGACTATAGAAAGTGGGATGGCAAGTGAAATGGTGTATGCAAAGGATTGGAACTAAAGCAGTGGATACAGAGGGAGAGATGCCAAAAGAGTTCAGGTTAATGCGGATAAAATTGAAATATGAAATTATAAGGGTTGTTTGTAAATTTAAGCCGTGTTTACACCGGAGTTTCAAGCAAAAGGTTGCAAACTTTTATTGCAAACAGCAGTTGCAAACAGTAGTTTCAAATAAATGTTTGCAATTTTTATTTCATGATTTGTTTCCATGTTTCATGAAAATGTTTGAAATAATTTCGACCTTGATTATGACTTGCCTCGTTCTGGTTCCTCGGATCAGTCCTTCCGAGGATGTCAAGTGTCGAGGATGTTATTTTAGCCGCGGCAGCGTGTGTCGTGTTGTCAAAGCAACGTAGGCCGAGACGATAAACGGTGAACATTGTTGATTTTTTAAAGATTACAAGGACTTAATTATACGCTAACCCTTTTAATTCTCATGAGACGTTATTGTTATTTTTAAATTAGACCACCTTGTCATTTGAGGTTGGTGTTAATTCATTGACAGTCAAACAGCATTTTTCCGATTAATTTAACACTGAGTCGAGACACAGGGTGGTGCGAGTGATCACGTGAGTGAGAGTGGAGGGGGTAGCGTAGGGGATGGTGGAGAAATGTTTCTGTTTCGTGTTTCAACGGCTCATATTGACCAAAACTAGTGTTGCAAACAAAGAGTTTGCAACTCCCTTTGATCTTTACCGACTTCTAGTGGAAACTAAAATTTTTGTTGCAAACACTGAAAAACTGTTTGCAACAGCGAAATGTTTCGTCTAAAAATGTGCGTTTTTAGAGATGTTTGAAATTTCTGTTTGCAACTCGTGTTTCAAACTCCGGTGTAAACGCGGCTTAAGGTCTCCATCAATCTCTCATCGCAGTGTTGAGTTGTTTTTTTTTCATCCATTGCTATTCTATTTGTTTTCCAGCCCTATATGGCAATTAGGTATATAGAGTTGGTTTTTTGGTGAGTCGGTGGCTCAGTCGGTAGCGTCACGGACTTCGAGCCCAAGGCAGCGATGTCGTGGGTTCGGATCATGGTCACTGCCGCCAACATTACGGTTCACCTTCATACTGTACCCGCTCACCCCTTGTTTTGCTGGATACGTTCCACGCACGGGCAAATAGTCTATGTGGACGGCAAGGTTAAAAGAGGCTGCTATAACCTCTTTTTTATAAAAAGATTTAAAAAACAGGTATCAACATAGTATTTGAAAACGTTGTGAAAGAAAATTTATGTCTACTAACAAATAAATGTAGATAATGTGATGATGTGTGTGTGAGTTGCCAACTGCTTTTGGAGTCTATTGCCAGTTAACGTACAAGAATGAGGAATAGTGTTTGAAGAGGGCAAATGTGCATAAGGCCTGTAAGGGAGGTCAGAGGTTGCAAAATGTTTTTTAATGGTTCAGGCCAACTATTGACGTTTGTCAGTCTCCTTTAAGGCAGTAACCAAAGTTAGAGAATCTTAGTTTGCAGATTGTGTTGTGATTAAGTTTGAGGGACTACCAAACTGATAGGGGACACCTTTGTAACTAGAAATGACTATGATAAACCCTGGTAAAATCAATTATGTTTGAGGTCAAAGATAGCTCTGCGTTCCTTTTTGTACCATCTCTAAGATACTGATTTTCCTCTTAAACATGTCGACCCTGAAGCAGTTTCAAAAAATGTAATGTCTCAATGGCAACTGAATAAAGACAGCCTCGTGCAAATGTCTACTAACGGCCTTCTGTGAGTTTGAGCTCCGCAATCCACTTGAGCACATTTTCTGCGTTGAAACAGTTTCCTGAATTCATCTGTCAACTGTCAACTAACTGTAAAAAGAGCTGAACTGCTTTCTAAAGAAACCTAATGAAATTATGTGACTCATACTTGGCTGGAGTGACTATTTCTCCTAACATATTTTCAGGAGGGGTGGGAACCGGCTTAAGTAGTAGTGGATGAAGTAAAGAAAACACCACAACATTGGTCACAGGTTTTAACTATACCTTGCTTAGCCGTGACAGGAGCTTTATGGAACCATTTATTTTTAGACAGCCCTCGTAATAACCATGGAAGTAAAAAAAGTATGAACAATGCTGGTTAAACTTTTCAGTAGCTTTGAAAATGTTGTGGCTGCACGTCCCTAAAATAAAACATTAATATGTAATGTGACCTCGCCAAGCGGGACAGAATTTCAGGATTCTAAACTCTTTATACTCCTAACAATCATAATGATAATGTTTATATCTATCCACCTACCTCGAAGGCTCTTTGTAGTTCCGCGGCCTACTGTTGTACGAAAGCGGATCCTCGTGGTCATTATAGTTCCTAGAGCCGTCTCCAGAGTAAGTGTTGTACAAGTCTTCCCCTCTTTGCGTTCTTCTTCTTGACGGATGCTGGGGACCTGCACATTAAAAGAGTATTTTATCAATAAGTTCCTTTATTTCCCATTTATAGACACAAAACATAAAACCCTGCTACTCTTTTTGCATCAACTATCAGGGACGTACAATATTTGTAAAATAATCAAGGGAACATACCTTCTGTCCAAGCAATTTTTTTTAGGACAATGACTATGTATACATTTTGGACTAACGATCCCATCATCAGGTCTCCAAAAGTATAAAACCAAATATGCAGTGACTACAAAATTCATCAAGTCCTGGCTTGCTCTTTTGAAAATGCCAACTAAGGGGGTTTACTCCACATAGAATTGCATTATCCTTTATTAATTTTGCAAGGAAACTGAGTCTGAAGGGAATCACTTTGAAAACAGCAGAGCCAAGCAGGAGGACAATAGATCCGGTAGGCCGCAAACATTTATTTGATAGTGGTGATATCAGTAATAACAACATCTGTGTTGAATAAAGATAAAATAATTTTATTTAATGTTGATAATATTAGGAATTAACATGGAAAAGATACAGTTGGATTGTTGAGGTTGTGCTGGTCTTTATTTAAATAAACTATAAACATTAATGGTAAGAATTTTAAGGCTTAACTTTATTGAAAAGAGCAAAGTGAATGTTTTCTAACTCATCGTACTAATAAGCAGTACATGATGTAGCCTATTGAGCAACATAGATTGCTGACTTCAATAGTAGGTGGCATGGTAAGACGTAGAGCTGGGACCGAAATCTTTTTTTCATTTTGATGGAGAGTAAATAAAAATACATCTAATAATACTTTAACACATTTGCTGAAGTTGTGTCCTGGTGAAGCATGGATGGCCATGGTGTGAGGCGGCCCATCAGTTAGTATGTCTCAGGATCTAGCAGAGGACGGTTGGTAAGCGTTACTATTGTGTCTCTAATACCAGTCTATAATTGTGCTGTAGGTTGGTAGTAAATTTCCCCGTAAAATCCCCGTTTGGCAAGCTTAGAAATCAACTTGCTGTCCCTGTTTCTCCCTACAATGGAACTGGCTACATTCCAAGCAGTGCTGCTATCTGTAATTGTTTTAGCAAACTATGTTGACTCTCGTTGTAATGCAGCACATCACCGCACGTTATTTGCTATTCGTCAGACAAAAATATTTGAAAACGAATCGCCCTGTCAATCGGGCACCTGCCATTGATGCAGCAAATGTTTTAAACATATATTTAATAGCTGGAGAGTTGGATTACTCCAGCTATAAAACCAAAAGCTCCACCGTGACCATTCCGCGTTTGAACAGCCTCGTGTAGAATGGTCCAACGGATTTCGAGCGGACTTCACGAGACGAAGATCCCGGCACACACATGTAGTATGCACAACATTTTGCGAAATTTACGCTCTAGTAAAATGGGTCTTAGAAGTACGAGGCTTGTTTTTTTCTCAACCTTCAAAAGGCTATAAATAAAAGACAAGTCCATATAAAATAATACATTTATTACCAAAAAGAAAGGTACACTTAAGGCTACTTTTCGACATAATCGCCATAGAGATTCAGACATTTGTCGTATCTGTGGACAAGCTTTTGCATGCCCTCCTCATAGAAGGTTGCCGCCACCGCATTTAGGTAGTCCTTGACGCTGGTTTGGAGCTCAGCATTGTTTTGAAAACGCTTCTTACACGCCACGTCTTCAGATTAGGAAAAAGGTGAAAGTCGCTGGGTGCAAGGTCAGGACTGTATGGCGGATGATCAAAAATGTCCCATCCAAATTGGTCGAGAAGCTGTTGAGATGCTCCAGCAGTGTGTGGACGCCGTGGATGGGCATTGTCATGGATCAAAACAACTCCAGAAGTCAGCATTCCTCTTAGTTTGTTCTGAATGGCTCTACGCAACGTCGTAAAGTTTCACAATAAACAGCTGCAGTGATTGTGGTTCCAGGTTCCATAAATTCCACAAGCAACACACCTTTTTGTCCCCAAAACACAGTATCCATGGCCTTTCTGTTGTTAAAGGTTTGTTTGAATTTCTTTGGTTTGTTTGGTGAATTTGAATGCATCCATTGTTGTGATTTTTGTTTTGTTTCCGGTGTGTCGTACTGAATCCAAGTTTCATCCCCATTCACGATCCATTTCAAAAAGTCGTCTCTGTCATCATGGTAATGCTCAAGGAACTGCAAAGCTGACGCCATATGTCGAGTTTTGTGGCCATCCGTCAACATTTTTGGGTCAAATCAAAACGTGCACAAAGTTTTCTGTAGCCTAACCGTTCAGTAACAATAGAGTACAAAACAGACCTTGAAACATCGGGAAATTCCAAAGACAAAGCAGTAGGCCTAATGGTGAATCTGCGGTTTCCTTTCATCATTCTGTCAACACCTTGAACCAGGTCATCTGAAATGACAGATTTGATCCCTTGTCCCCCTTCATCGTGCACATCATTACGGCCGTCTTTAAACTTTCGACACCATTCACGCACAACACCATCACTCATAAAGTTTTCCCCATACACACGACTCATTCTCTGATGGATTTCTGCAGCACTATGGCCTTCAGCCTGTAGAAAACAAATAACACTTCGCAATTCGCACTTGGCGGGAGCATCAATGGTGGCAGCCATGTTTATGTGGCTGTAGCACAACGCCAACTGACGCGCGAATGTCAACAATGGCGATAAGTGTAGTGGAAGAGTTGCGCAATCGCCTAAGGCGCATGTCCTCCTTCTGCCTCCCGCGTAGCGTCTGCACGGAGCGATCGGAGGTTGAAAAAAAACCCTTGTATTTTTATTTACTCCCTGTAAAATCAATAAAACGTGTCATGCTAATTAACAAGCTGTTTTTAATTTTCATGTCCCTATAGGCCAAAAATAAAATTTGTTCGATTTTTTTTTTAATTTTTATCGATATTTTATATGTCTGTAAACTTGAGTAATCTATGTCCGATTTCAATGAAATTTGCCTTGAAGATGTAGGGTGGGATAAACATCAATGAGTTTGCAAACCAGCATGATCAGACCTTGCGAACGGGGGTTTATGGAGTAAATACATGATTTACTCATTTTTGACCCACAAAATATAAACATTCTCAATTTCTCTTAAAACCATTTTAAAGAGCTTAAACAATAAATAATTTTGTATATTGCTGTTTTTTTTTACGGTTATTGGTTGAACAAAATTTCTAAAAATGTATAACTTAAAAATTTCCATGTTGTTCTTATGGAGAATAAGTACAATCATTGCTACAATGTTGTTGTTTTTGGATATATTTTTATCAAACTCCGCAAATTTATTTATTTTATACCAAGCTATTAATATTTTACCAAAAACATCCGCAGTACCCTCCCTGTAGCAGCAAACCAGGTACTTGTTAAACACCAATTGTTTTATAGATTTAATTGAAAATACAATCAGACAAATGGAAATTCGCTTAGTCTGCAGGTTTAATTGCTGCGGCGGGGTATTTTATTTTTTATAAACATTGTTCAATTCAAAGATTAAGATAATAAAGTAGAGTTCTCTGCTATGCATCTAGTGTAGGCTTTAAAGGTATAGCTCAATTATAAGGTTGCCTTGAAAGAGACTGACTGTGACAAGTTACAATGTACACAGAGGCACTTCAAAAATTATATTTAAATACCGAAATTCTGAACAAAAGCTTGGATGAAATAGAGGAGTGATATATTTTACCAAAAGTGACAGTATTGTGATGAATGGACTTGAGCTTTACAGCTCCAACACGCCTTCACCAGCCACTACTTATAAAAGGTTGTAGTTTTTATGGTTTTTGTAAATGAAAAGTATGTTTTTAAACCATGATGTTTTACTAGCCCAAGAATTTAAAATTCCTTATCAGAAGATGGTATAGTTTAGTAGCAAATATGTCTTAATTATTATTATTTTAAATGCATTAGGAATTTTGATGAGAAATTTTAAAATATCTAGTCCTTGAATTGTATTTGAAGTGTATTCAAGCATGATGACCGTACCCGAAGAAGTTGGTATCTTTGGCTTATCCAAAAAGAGACTAGAATATTAAAAGAGCATGTCCCAAAGATCTATATGTGGTGAGCTGTTGTTTTATAAAAATATTAGGCTACTTGTGTAAGCCTTTGAATAGGGTATAAGGTTTAAAACTTTAACAGACATAGTAGTAATCACAGAGTGTGCTACCATACGCTGTACCATCAATATCCCCAGGGGACTTAGCTTAAATATGGAGTTTTAGCCAGGGCCACGTTTCCCTGACGGTGGACACGGAGGTTGCCAGGGGGCCTGGGAAAATGTTGTCTCTTTAAAAATGAAATCTACCAATTAATTTGTTCCCATAACAAATTAATTGGTAGATTTAACTAGAGTTTGTAGATCTAACTAGAGTTTAACTAGTAGATTTGGTAGAGTTAACTTTTTGAGTCCAGCCTTGATTCTTGCAATCGTCAAAAGATTCTGTGAAGAATACGCCATAGAAAATCTCGATTACGCCGCAACCGCTGGATAGTGGGGACCATGATGAAGTCTCTGCAAAAGCATGAGATGTCTACGGTTCCTCCACGATTTCATCACAACCGCATGAGATGTTCTTGATTTCATAGTACTTGAGGATGATTTTGTTAATACAATTTTGTTAACTTACTTTCTTTTTTATGATTTTGCTGCGATCGTGTGGGTAACGATAATGATGTCCCCACGATTGAGGAGGATTTTTACTATTTCACCGTTAATGTGAGTTATTTATAATTCCTATGCCATCGCAAAAGATGTCCACAATTTCACCACGGTGGGAAGCTGAGGTGTTAAGGAACTTTGAAATGTACATTACTTGGTTGCTTCAACTTGATGAACTCAAACTTTGGTCTTCGTTTTCGGCTATGTGATCAGCTAAATAGACATAGGATATAGTAGCTAATGAATTATTTTGTTCAATAATAATAGTGTAGGGGCTCCTGACCAGATATTTTTAATATGAGTCTGGTAAAAAATTTTGACTTTTGCATTAGGTCAAAATTGACTGATTTTAGAAATAATTGATTAAAAAAATATTAATTTATAAATACAAGGCCTATAGGCCTAATTGGTTTATGGGAAGTCTGCAATCGCTGAATCTAAATAGAAAATAGACAATATCGTCTGTGGCCACGACAAAATCATAAGTGTTCTATGTGGTTGCAATAAAATCGTGGACATCTTCCGCAGTCGTGAAACAAAGGGATTGTAAACGGCAAAACAGTGAACTACTCCGCGTTTTCTAGGACATGATCTTCATCTCCCATGGTCCAGATAAAATCGTAGACATGTTCCACGCCCGTGGATAAATTAATTCTGAACAACTCATACGTTCATAGCGAATTAGTGAAGATCTTTCCCGGTCGCAAAGCGCAAAGATTTCATCATTGTTTTCTGCTATTGCAGCGAAACAGATTATCAGTTAGACTAATCTATCAAGAGAAAAAGCTTCATGTCCAGAGTGAAGCTCCAGGCAACCGTCGTGTCCGCCAGTAGGGAAATACAGCGATGATTGTATCTGTTCATTCTGGCTCACCCCTTGCATGATTGGCACATCACGTTTCCTACTTTGTGACCCATATGGATAGGAAAATGGAACGTTAAAAGAGGCTGCAACCGCCAAGGCATTGCCAGGGCCAAAAATCTGATGGATTGGTGAGAGACATATAGGAATTATTTTTACACGTATGTTCTCCTCGTTTAGCTGTTAGTTTTAAGTTACCAATTATTGTTAATAAGGTACCATAATGATCCAATGACCTCTAGTGTATCGGCAACTCACAACCTTTAGTTAGTAGGTGTAGTGTCACAGGCTGTGAAACCAGACAGCGATGTTGTGAGGTGCACCACACACACAACATGAACTAGCAAATACAAAGTTGAAAGACCTAAATACTCTTAAAAAAGAAAGTATTGATATAGGCCTATTGTTTACGGAAAGACTACTTGGCCTACAGTTACCAGGAGCAAGGTGGTGGCCATGGTGTACAGGAGGAGGCTGGCTAGGAGGTTCGTCAGTCTCGTAAGAGTTCTCTCGGCTGGTCTCCAAGGAACGCTGTGGCGTGCTCATCTGGTGTGCAGTGCTGCGAAACTGGCTGGCCGAGCTGTTAGCATGCTGGCCCACTGGATAGTTCAGGTCACTAGTGTAGTCACTATCTTCCGAATAACCAGCTGTAAAACACAAATGCTAATGAATATTGTGGCCTTTGTAGCATGGATAGTAGCAGTAAGTTAGTGGTTTCCAGAAATCTAGAGCTTTTCAGTTAAAGATAGTAGGTGATGATGGTATCTGATATTCTGATAGGACTCCAAAATAAATACCAATGTGATGATGTTGACCTAGTGGTTTTGAAACCACCTTCAGTCGTGGACATCAAGAGAATAAAAAAGTTGCTCTTTTCAGTTATCCCCATCCCTATGAAGAACAAGCTAGTTATTAAATGCAATAGATAGCCTATAAGTTAGTTGGCTGATTGTTGGCCCACATCTTTCTATTTGTTTTTATTTTATGGAAATTCCTTAGAAATGAGAATAGGGCGCGCTACTCACATTCCAGATTAGTTAACTTAGTTATTGGGTAGCATATGAAAATAGGCCTGAAATCCACAAATAAATACAGATATTTGTTTTTAACCATTCTTTGAAAAGCCATAATGGTTTAAAGTAAACAAGATAATAAATGGCCACATTGCTTGTTAAATAATAAATGAAATGAAATGAAATGCTTTATTGTCGTTAAAACTGAGTACAATAAATAATAATAAACCAATTGAGTTTAACTCAGCCAATACAGTAATACCATAGATAAAACATACTCCCACCTAATAATAAACTACTAAATAAAATGGTAAAAGTATCTTGGGCTGACATTCAACACTTTATCGGCTTTATCCATGGGTAGATTGCTTTAGATGTTAATTGTTTGTGTCAGAAGTGTCCACCTACACCAACACCTGTCAAAATCAGATGTTAGCTTTACTTTATTTTATTTACTTTGATAGCACTGATAAGATAAATCAACTTGACATTAAAAAGAAACAGACAGACTTTTTCAAAAACAACAAGGATCTAGCATTGATCATACACTGCTTTTTAAATACAGTATAAACTTATCCAGCTATGCATTACATTACTTTGATTTTTGTTATTGCAGTAGGCCTACAATTTGAAATATAATATTTAAAAATACTTTTTGAAATACAAATTCAAAAAGAAACTCTGCATGTATCCTTATTTTACATAAGTTAAGTTAGACAAAACACAAGTTTTTAGCTTTTTACACATAAAGCTATATCATAGACTAACCAACGCAGGTAGACTTCCAATCCCATTTCAAGTAATTTTTCAACAACACTGTCAAGCTGTCAAGCTTGTTTTTCGTGCCTAGTTCATGTTGATGACACTGGACACTAGTGTCGCGCACCCGCACAGAGCGTCATTCAAGTCATTCGTCATCATTTGTCGAGGCCGATAGGAATTCTGGGAATCGAATAGGCCTATGGCATTCCTAGATATGTGGACCATCTTTGTGCTTAGTTTTGATTGAATCGGTTTAGTATTAGCAATGAATACATAATGGTTCTGCATTCATTGGTATTAGTCGAGCAGCTGCCCAGACAGACAGACACCCCACCTCAATTTTATAATTGTACCAGCTTTTGCCCGTCGGCTTCACCCAACATACTTTTGAGTTTTGTTATGAACCGGTTGAAGTTTGTGACTTTACTATACGGGCTAACATGACCTTTTAAATTATTATTCCGTATAGTAAGGATAAAGCAAATATTTATATTGCCTAATCTTTTGTCTATCACTAAACTGCCAGTTATTCGGTCTAGTTACTGCACCCATGCATTCGCCTTGCAACGGGGGAAAATTATAGTGATGCGGTCTGTTGGTAAACTTTGTTACTTGTTAATGCTGTTGAACATTATAGAACTTAACTCCAGGCCGCGGCGTTCGAAGTAGCAACTCTGGCAGAAAGGCTGTGTTCAACGGTAATACCATCCGATTAAATGAGAGGGCGTCTGTCACCTGTCTGCCATGTTAGCTTATGGGACATCTGACGCTAAAAAGTACTACTTGCGACGTTGCCAATTCTACCTGGCCACGGCCTGGTGTTAAAGGTGGCCGTGATTTAACTCGTGGTACTGGACTGGCCTTGGATAAACACGTCTATATATGGGCCAGCTGAAGACGATATTAATAGTTGCCACCGGTGACTCTAGGAGTGTTTTTTTCGTCTGAAGAAATAAAACGATCTAACAATTAACAATAGCACAAATACTGCTTTTTAACAAATTCACACAGAGGTGGATCCAGCAGGGAGGCGACTTGCTCCTCCTTAGCCAAAAAAATGTAACATAAAGATAAAGCCATGACCAACTTGCCACACAACAGTATAACAGGTTTATCACAAAAATCTTAACTACTAAATTAACTACATACCAAAGTTATTATTTTTTATGTCGTTTGTTGAATTATTATACGTGTTGTATGTACTGTTTTTTGTGGTTCAAACCTTCAACAAACCTAATCAAGCAGTTCGGTGTTTACTGGACTGGACTGGGGGCCTGACGATAGCATTCCGCTGAACCTGCGAGTTTAACACCTTGATTGTTGTGATTGTTAGATCTACTCCTCAATCTTTTTCTTAATCCAAATTTGATAATAGGATGAGGAATGTAGCTTTGGTATTCAAAGAAAATACGGCTTCATAAAATTATACATTCAGAGTAATAGCCTATGTGGTGTTATATATATACTGATTATAATCAATACTACTCACAATGTCCGAAGTACTGCATCTGTCGGCGTGCCTGTTCCGCCCGCTGTTCCTGGTCAACAATACTGTTCAAGTACTCTAGTTTCCTCTGCAAATCTGCTGCTTCAGTGTTCTCCGGATCTACAACAAAGACGCTGGTTTAATATTCCTCTCAAAACTTCATGGATTTATTGTCAGCAAATAAGACGCATATCGTAAACCGTGGATAAAAATGGAATAGCGATTTCTTTTAAACATAATAGTGATAACAAGTTCGAAAATCAAAACACAATTTAGTAAATACAGCATAATAGAATGAGATTTAACCATGATTTAAAATGTATAGCCACTGATAATATATTTCAGTATAATTTGCTGAATCAAAAATCGAAGATTGTGATTGGCCCAATGCTTTTTAACGAGAACTGTGGGAACATACTATGATTGACATATAACATTTAGAAACATTTATAAAATAAAAGTAGCCTAGTTGAAATAGTCTCATGTAGTTATTTAAACTTGAGAGGTTGCAGCATAAAAGCCGAATAAAAATCAATAGTATCATATATACATAACATATTTAAATAGTTTCCTGTTATTAAATTTCCTTGGTATACATTACAAATCTTGACATAATCAGTAAAGATTATTAGAGAACAATTTTATTTAGTGCGTGAGAAAAATAAAGAACCAAATTAAATAGTACTGTCGATAAAGAGAAACTCTATTCCTATGAAAATGTTTAAGTAAAACGATTAGTTAAATGGAAAATTATTTACTTATGTAAAAAAAATCATTGATGCAATGAAATCTTATTCGGTTAGGTATCAGTTGTCGTGAGTAGAGAAGTATATGCTTGAAAATAAGATAGAGAGAATCAACTAAGAGTAATCAGTTGAGAAAGTCTTGATAGGAAAATCGTGATTAGTTTAGGCATAGATTAAACTCCTTTTTTTGGTTTAGGTGATAGGATCTTGATGATCTTGTCGTGGGGTCTGTGGGATACTGGTTGTTCTAGGATGACGGTGATTGCAAAAATAATCTAGTACTTACTGTATAAAGGCTAAATCTTGTCGCCCCGAAATACTAGTTTTGCACGATATTGTAAAATTGGCACTCATTGCAAACAGTGTAAATTATCATTGGCATAGAACAACGTTTTCGTCTGACGGATTAGTTGATATACATGAATTATAATTTACACTGTAATTTAAAGTACTTTTTGGTGGCATTTTGAAATTCACTCCCACCATGGAGGGCCTTTATAGGATAGGGGTTGCATACAAATCTATGATTTTGCTGGGGATAAGTTATTTTTTTTAAATGGCACCTTCTATCAAGTAGTCCATTATTTTAAAGGGCTTTAAAAAGGGAAATTAATGTAGCAAATCTGACTTTTATATAAAGATATTCAAAAAGTTATGGAAGGAAAGGTTGATTAAACTGGAACTTTACATTCCATCACTTTTATTTTTTTTAATGGCTGTACATTTTCAAATAACCTTCAGTATACGTGACCAGAGTGATGTTACACACTTTTCAACATGATTTTGAATTGTATAGAATTTTTTTTTTTGAATATATGCAGCCGTTCAAAAAATAACCAGGGGGTAGTACTAAGGGACACACCCGATAGTAGTATATTATAAGTTGCTTATTGGGTTTGAAGTCATAGAGAACTGTGCTTTACTTAAACTCTGTGTTTCAAAAAATCTTTGTATATCAAATTGAAAATGTAAAAACGACAATCATACAAAATAATTAAATAGTGCAGTAGTAATTAACGTCTTAACTAATTTTGCGTCAAGAGTCGCTGGAGGAGAAGTTGTAATTATAATTTAACTATTTTAAAAGGTAAATAATGGGTAAACTTAATGAGGAAAAAGTGCCATACAAAAACTATTCACTAATTAAAGTATAAAATCAATTTTTTTATGATAATAAAATAGTTCAATTAAACTGTCACCGTTATGTTTTCTACTCCTTGCTAATAATTACAGCTGCACTAAACGGGGACAAACCAACACAAATAACTATTTCTTGATGTCCCTGGCTGCACTACCAACTAAGTAACGAAGTTACAAAAATTACCTCACAAATATTAATATTTGGGTAAACAATTATTTTAAATTGAAAATTGAAAATGTAAAAACGACAATTATACAAAATAATTAAATAGTGCAGTAGTAATTAACGTCTTAACTAATTTTGCGTCAAGAGTCGCTGGAGGAGAAGTTGTAATTATAATTTAACTATTTTAAAAGGTAAATAATGGGTAAACTTAATGAGGAAAAAGTGCCATACAAAAACTATTCACTAATTAAAGTATAAAATCAATTTTTTTATGATAATAAAATAGTTCAATTAAACTGTCACCGTTATGTTTTCTACTCCTTGCTAATAATTACAGCTGCACTAAACGGGGACAAACCAACACAAATAACTATTTCTTGATGTCCCTGGCTGCACTACCAACTAAGTAACGAAGTTACAAAAATTACCTCACAAATATTAATATTTGGGTAAACAATTATTTTAAATTGAAAATTGAAAATGTAAAAACGACAATTATACAAAATAATTAAATAGTGCAGTAGTAATTAACGTCTTAACTAATTTTGCGTCAAGAGTCGCTGGAGGAGAAGTTGTAATTATAATTTAACTATTTTAAAAGGTAAATAATGGGTAAACTTAATGAGGAAAAAGTGCCATACAAAAACTATTCACTAATTAAAGTATAAAATCAATTTTTTTATGATAATAAAATAGTTCAATTAAACTGTCACCGTTATGTTTTCTACTCCTTGCTAATTAATACAGCTGCACTAAACGGGGACAAACCAACACAAATAACTATTTCTTGATGTCCCTGGCTGCACTACCAACTAAGTAACGAAGTTACAAAAATTACCTCACAAATATTAATATTTGGGTAAACAATCAAATTTCTAGCTTATAAGGTTGATTTAGTAGGTGGTAAATCCTTTATATGTTTGTGATAGCAAAATTACAACTTTGGACAACAATGTCGGAAGTAAAAATGTCAGGAACACGTAGATTTTTTACTTTTGATGAAATAATTGTGAGTGTTTAAAAGGGTGTATTGAAGAAGACTTAGTGGGAGAGAGACTAGGTGCACGCTCATTCTTCCCGCGTGTTGACAAAATGAAGGTAGTTAATAAAGCTGGTTAGTTAGGCGACCAGACTACACCGTAGTACCACTGACTTTATAGTACTTTAGAGGTAGGCGCACAAAGGACTTAGCCTACACTGGATCGAGCAGGCAGGCATGCTCAATGCTTAAACAGTGTCTTGCAGAGCAGGAGATCATTTCGAGCATGCCTGAGGCCTTGGTGCAGATGTTGTGAATGTGTATGGTCATAACTTAAATGACAAGTCAACAAAACACCATGGCCTCTGTTGGTTAGACGTCCAGAACAGACTGCCATATAGGAAATATTCAGTATACAGAGAATTTTGTTTTATGCTAAAATTTATCAACTTATTCTTGGTGGGATTAACATAATATTATCTTTGGACTTGGAACAAAAATTAGCTGAGAACATCATTATCAGCAAACTAAAGAAAAGGGACTTTGACAACTCTCTTTTTGTCATTAATTAATATGGAGATCAGAAAATATCTATTTTTTCCAATATAGGCTATCTAAAATATATAGATTAAAAATATATATATTTTTGATAAAATGATTGTAAGTGTATAATTGTGTTTGTGTGGATTGTTTAGTTGTTTCGTTGGATTGTTGTTTGCTATAGTGATAACGATAAGGTTGTCGACAAAGGACGATAATAAGTAAAAAGTTTTGTTTGAAAAACTAAAATCTACTGTACGACGTGCTAGCACAACATCGAACTATTCTTTTGATGAAATAATTGCTCGTGTTTGGGTGTGTTACAGTAGATGGAGTGAGAGAGAGATAACTGATAAGGTTGTCGACAAAGGGTGATGCAGGTTGTCATACCCCCCAACCCCCCCCCCCTTCACCCGACAAAGGCCCATATTCCCCGCTTGTCTACTTCATTATACTGTACAGCGAACCAATTATTCGGGAACGTGTTAACTCATAAAGAAAATATTATCACTTTCACATCAAACATTGATACCAGAAGGGCCCTGGAGAAGAGAGATTTTCCAGGAACATGTTTATCAAATTGATTAACTACATTTTCATCATGGAAAAGTAAAATGGTAGGTAATACTTGAAATCAAGTTTTAGGTACCAAACAAGTTGACTGTAAATTATATGCAGGATTGCAAAAATCAAATTTGTTTAGCAAGTACATTGCTTTATATGAGTGAATAAAAAGTTTGGTTGGAAAATAGTATTAGATAAAACAGTGAATTTACAGATATATTCATTCCCTTGCTGTAGGTTTGGTTTTCTTGCTAAAAACATGCATAATCTTTCACTCTGAATAATTCTGCAAAAATAACTTACGATTAATTTAATATTTCTTGATACTGTAATTAATAACTCTGATTGGTGGAAACTCCTTACTTTTTAAAACTGGATCCTAAGTAGTCGAAACTGATTGAATCTAGTAATTTAATTTTTTTTATTACAGGTCAATTCAGATGGCAAAATATTATGTTAATGAAATCATAACGTGCTATACTATATTTTATACATAGTAAAATGGGAAAACAACTTATATATTTCTTAAATGAATTATGGTTTGTTTGGAGACTTATATAACTAATAATAATCTTATAGGGTTTAAGGGAATATATGTTTGTGCCCATTGGCATGATAACTCGAGAAAAATGACCCGATTTCAAAAAAATTTTGGATAAGCGTGTCCCTAACCAGCATGATCGGACTATAGGAACGGGGTTTTTATGGGCTAAACATTTGGTTTTCCCTTCTTTACCTGGAATACATAAAGTTTGCAATTTCTTTCCAAACCATTTGTAAAGCTTAAAAACGAATAATTTAGTATATTGAATCATTATTATGCGCTTTTAATTATTATGATCCGAGCGAGTATAACAAATAAACTTAACGTATCTGGGTTGAGTAGCAAAAAGTGAAGTTCAAACATTAAAATCTGTTCGTATAATAAATAAAAATCTGTAGTTAAAATCAACGACTGGGGACTGGATATCAGACTTTTGAAATA